TACCTGCGCCGCCTGCCCGACCCGCTCCTCACGCACCACCTCTACCCCGCATTTATCGGTATGTACTGCATTACGAACACGACCACTCGACATCAATACTGATTTAAAAATTTGTTAAAAAAAATATATTTTTAGGTAAAGTGCGTTATGAATATGTTGTGTCACGTTACAGCGGCGGACCGCAGCCCGGAGCGCGGGCGCGAGCTGCGGCGGCTGGTGCAGGCGCTGCCGGCGGCGCACTACGCCACGCTGCGGTACCTGGTGCAGCACCTGCGCCGCGTGGCCGCGCACTCCGCCGCCAACAAGATGGAGCCGCGCAACCTCGCCATCGTGTTCGGCCCCACGCTCGTGCGCGCCGCCTCCGACGACATGCTCGCTATGGTCAACGACATGTCCAGCCAGTGCCGCATCATCGAGTCCTTCCTCATGCATGTACGTACACCTCGCAGCGCAATCATTCAATCACATACTTAAAAACTATGTAATCGACAAAATAAATATGTATGTTGTGGTGCTGCAGTACTCGTGGTACTTCGAAGAGAACGCGGGCGAGCCGCCGGCCGAGCTGCAGGGCGGGGACGCGCCGCAGCCCAGCCGCGACCTGCTCATACACAACGTCAAGAAGATTGAAGGTACGCACGAACAAGCCTTAACACTTCATGTTACACAATTGAATAAATGAAGATAAATCAAAGGAATATAAAACTAATCCAGTGTTCAATTCTTAGGCAAAGACGTATCGACCCGCGACATCGTGTCGTCGATAATATCAGCGGCGAACCGCAAGATCCAGCGCAAGCCGCGGACCAAGGCCGCCGCCGCAGACAAGAAGTGGGCGGGCTCAGACAAGTCCCCGCCCTCCTCCCCGCCGCACCACGCCACCGCGCTCGCCCACTACGACGGCCTGCACCACTCACACCACTCGCACCACTCCACAGACAAGTCAGTACATACGACGTACCCATCTTTGTCTCATTACAGAGTTAGCATAAATCCTTTAGCTCGTTTATCACCACCCTCACATATAAAATTGATGACTTAATATTTTGGACGACAACTTTATTATTTTTGTCTATTGCAGGATCGAGATAGAGTCGAGCGGCGCGCGGCACACGCTCAACACATTCTCCATCGACGGTAAGTCCCGCCCCCCCCCCCCCCCCCCCCCCCCC